GCAGGGGCCCCTGTAGAGGGGGCCCCCTTGGGGGCCCCCCCTGAGGGGGCCCCCTGGGGGGCCCCCTCAGAGGGGGCCCCCCATGATGCCGCTGCAGCGGGGGCCCCCTGGGGGCCCCCCGTAGCGGGGGCCCCCTGAAGAGCCCCTGTAGAAGGGGGCCCCTGGGGGGCCCCCGTTGGGGGGCCCCCCTGGGGGGCCCCCCCATGGGGGGCCCCCTGGGGGGCCCTCTTGTAGGGGGCCCCCAAGCCAAGGGTTGCAACCTCTGGAGCCATTGCATGCAGAGTACCGCAGAAGGAATTAGCGCGGGGCCTGCATGCATAAACCCTAAACCCTAAACCCTAAACCCTAAACCCTCGTAGAGAAAAAGCAAAAACCTTTATAAAAGAAGAGGAGTTATAGAAAGTATAAAATGCTAGCATATTAGGGTTTACCGCTGACCGACAATCCCAACTTAAAATTAATAAAATTAGGGTTTAGGGTTTAGGGTTTAGGGTTTAGGGTTTACAGTGTATGACATCGTTGCTGTACATCTGGAACCCCTTTGAGGGTTTATTTTTTAGGGTTTAGGGTTTAGGGTTTAGGGTTTACAGAGTATGAGATCGTTGCTATCCAGCTGGAAACCCTTTGAGGGTTTATTAGGGTTTAGTAGGGTTTATTAGGGTTTAGGGTTTAGGGTTTACAGAGTATGACACCGTTGCTACACAGCAGCAAACCTTTTGAGGGTTTATTAGGGTTTATTAGGGTTTATTAGGGTTTATTAGGGTTTATTAGGGTTTAGGGTTTGCAGAGTATGAAATCGTTGCTATCCAGCTGGAAACCCTTTGAGGGTTTATTAGGGTTTATTAGGGTTCATTAGGGTTTATTAGGGTTTATTAGGGTTTATTAGGGTTTACCTTTTAGGGTTTAGTTTGCATGCAAAGCCGAAATCAACGAGAAGAGGACGGCCTTTTGTGGTTAATATAATGTTTGAGGCCTGGAGGTCTCGATGACAAAACCCTAATGCATGCAGCTCACCTAGAGTCACTGTCATCTGCAACACAAACCCTCGT